ACTGTGGATGTTCATTGGTTCCAGTTCCACAGCCCCTGCAATATCCAAGGATCTGTGTAAGTGTTCGAAAGGATCTAATTTAAAAAGAGAACTGTCTCTTCTAGGCAGTGCTAGTATCCGTGGGTGAGTTTGATTGGCTCGCAGACCATGTGTTGATTTCGGGGACAGGAATAAAAAGAGGAACAAGCCAGTTTCCATCTGCTCGTTGAGCTGCTCCTATCCTTGGGGACACACATGTCCTGTGTCCTGGAGCCTCTGTGACTGTGCTGTCGGGGGTTCCAGGCTCATGTGGGGCTGAAGTGCTCCCCTCCCTGTCCCTGGTGGTCCCTGTGGCCATCCTGGAGCAGTGCCCACACCACCCAGGGAGCCTGGGCCAGCTGCCTCAGCCCCTTGGATCCTGCCAGCCCTGGGCTCAAATAAAAGGGAATTGCTTGGACACCAAAAGCTTCCCACAGATGCACCTGGAATTTGTGAGAACTGTTCCCTGATGATGAGTCTGGCTACAGAGCAACAAGCAGTTCTCAGGAAGGTTGGGTTTCGATGGGGGTGACTCCTTTTCCTGCCAGCTGTTTCTCTCCTAGCTGTGTTCTCTCTAATGAAATTGCCCATTCAGCGCTGGGTTTGTAATTTAAACTGAGTGCTATAGATTAAGAGTTGTTGCTGCTTTATTATTGAAATGAGAGTCATGGGATCAATTTAACTGTTCCTGGCTTCATTATTTGCTTAAGACAATAGACTCATCTCTGCAAATTCTATTGCTTTGTGGGTATTTTTAGCTTGATTATCATAGATATTAGCAACAATCAACAAAGATTTCTTAGGTGCAAGTGCTTGCTCCTTGGAACACTAGTTTTTTATAGATTTTGTACTTTTAACTTGTCTTCCTTTTTGTAGTCAATCCAATCTGCTCACAGAAAAAACCAACCAAACTGGAACAACAGCAAAAGGAAAACAATCCAACTTACTTTGCAAAGACTTAAATGTTTTCTTAGTAGTTTATTTTCAGAATTAAAAGCATAATGAAGGTTATGGCTTCTGTTACACACGTAGCTAAATATTCTGGCAACTGAGCCTGTGTAGGTACAATGGGTACTTCAGCTGTTTGGGGAGGTGAGGTATCTGAAATGGCTCAGAATAAATTAAAAGCTTACTTTGATGTGAGCCTTCAGTAAGGCCTGACTGATTCCAGGTTTCCCTGGCTTACCAGAGTATCAAAAGCTAAAGGCAGGCCTGCTGCTCCAGGGTTAGTGCCAAGCAGTGATCACAGATCCCAAGGCAGAGGTTAGTGCCTCCAATGAAGGGAGTTCAGGTTAGGTTCATTAAAGCTTCATTGGCATAAAAACCTAGCCTCTGGTATTGCCAACAAATTTTTAAAAAATTCTTTCAGTATAGCTTCCTAATTCAGACATTCACCTGTTGCTGATAATTGGATTAATGTCCCCCAGATGGCTGAGAGCAGGGGGAGTAGGTGTCAGGAAATGTGCTCTTGTCCACTGAATGCACAGTTTTGGATCCTGGCATGAGTTAAAGGTTCCTGGACAACTTTATGCAGAATATGTAAACAAAAGTCTGTCTGGTGGGTTAAGGATAGCTGGATATCCCAGCAGAGCAAAGAAACCCATCTACAGTTTTGTTGACACCACCACTTCCATTTAAAATACAGCAGCACGAAGTCTTATTAACATTTCTTAAGAGTGACAGTAGAAGGACTATACATCTTCCTGCATTTGAAGTGTCAAAAAAGCAATTTTAATATCTAGTTTCTTATCTTCCAGTCAACATTCAACATTTTACTAACCATTTAGATTATTTCTACATACATTAACCATAATTGCTGAAAATCTCTTAGGCTGCTTTCAAACTGCATCTCTCACAGGATAATATTCTAAGATGTTTTTCTTTTTTAAATAAGCAGAATTATCCTTATGTCACATCATCCTCTCTCCATATTTTCTGCTTCTCTCCTTCTCCCCAAACAGGTAAAACAGTAGGAATGCAGGACTAATTTTATATCCATTTTAACAAATGACAGACTAGTAAAAATCTAGTGGAGAGTGCTGTGGGGGCTCTGTTTCAGCATTGCATCTCAAACCTTGTAGGACTTAGGTAGTTGGATATTCTGCTGCATTTGAGCTAAAGTATTTTGCCCAAGGATGCAAAGAATAATTAAAAATGAATACACAAAATTGGGTTCGATGCCACTTCAATTGGAGTGTGCTCTTAATTGCTTTACTTTTAACTTACTGGTTCAGACTTTGGACATCCTTCTGGAAAGGTGAGCTTTGGCATGTGTCCTTGCCAAATGGAGCCTTCCTGGCTGAATTTCTGATGTCCAGAGGTCAGTCAGAGGCAGGAGGCAAAAGTGGCTCCATCATTTTACCTGCAGTAGAGAGGTTCTCTTCTTGAAAACAACAACAACCAAAATTTAATGAGGAGATTTAGCTTTCCTTTGGTAAGACCATGGCTGTAATAGAGTTTGCCTGCCATAATAGTCCCATAGCACAGGCAGAAATTCCAATATTTCCTTCTTTAGCATTATTTGACCAACTAAAAATTCAACCCAAGGATTGCTTGTACTGAAAGAATACAAATGGGTTTTTTTCTCAATACCAGAACAAAGAGATGCACACATATCTGTAGGTGGTATGGAAATGAGTGTTTGTGAGTCTATAACAGCAGGAAATAAATTGCTCCCAAATGATTGTTATTTTTTTTGTCATGCCAGTTTAGCATATCCCAATTCTGAGAGATGCTAAAGGAGACTTTTCAAGTAGAAGCTTCCAGTGAGATTGTGGGGTCTGCACAAAATAACGTCAGACCAGAAAATTGAAAAAATACGTATTTTAGTAAATAATGCTTTCTGGAGCAAGTGCTGCAGTGAACTAATATTCACCCCACCTGAGGTGGCTCTGCAATTCACACCTCCCCTGTTCAGAGTGAGCTTCTATCTCCCAAATCTTCTGCTGGTGAGCTCCACAGGCTGTTGCTATCTCCTCTATGCTGTTCCTTTGCTGTGCTGGGCGTGGTTGTTGCCCTTCAGTCTCACCTTGGAGCAGATCAGTAGAAACTTTCAGTGTTTCAGTGCATCTCTCATTTCTGCAGCTGTTTTGTATTGTAGCCATGGCTTTGCTTCTTGAAATAAATATCCTCCTGCAAGTTACTAAACTGTCTTCCATCATCTGAAGGCAGATTTTTCATCTAAACTCTCTGAGGATGTGTAAAAGGAGTTCCAGAGGTGCTGGGGAGAAGGTGCCTCTTTGCACATCACAGAATTTTTGGGAGCAACACTAACTCATTCACACCATAGTCAAATTAGCATTGACTAAGGAGGTGACAGAAACAAAAGACTTTCTCTTACAGCCATAATTCAAACTCTGACACTCACTGATTTGGATAAAAAGCTTTGTTTTTGTAGTAAATGCTCTTCTGTAAGAACCCATCGTTCAACAGGGTGAACACTGATTTATACCTCTAAATTCAGTCCATGGTTTGAGCTTAAAACAAATAATTTCTGTACTACTAATTTGATTTCATCTGCCATGAGTACAGACCCCTCTGAAGTCCTTACTGTGATTCCTCTCAGGTTCTATCTCACAATGCCTGCCAGCAAAGCCACCATGGTGGGGGTTTGAATAGCACATTTTTATACAGAACATAGATTAGGACTGTACAATGAGATATGTTGAAGCCACTGTGTGATAATATTTGATCCATGCCGATGTTTTTGTTCTTTTTGCAGTGCATGGGTTGCATGAACTGGAATAGAGCCTAGCAGCAAGAACCTGACATGCAACCTGTGTCCCACACAGCCAGAAACCACAGCCAGGGATAAAACTGTGCTCTTTGCACCCAGCAAAGTCAGGCTGCAAAAGGGAACACACGTTGGGTCCTAACTCAGCTGGCCCCAGTGGAGGAATGGAGAACTTGGAGAACATTAAAGAGTGTTTGCCTCTTGTTAGCAATCCCTTACTGCACATTCTTACTCACAGTCTGCTCTGGTTGTGTTGGGACAGGAGATTTTCCACATAATTAGTTAATGCAGAAGGAGAAGAGGATCCCTACTGGTAATTTGAGTGCAGGTACAATAAGATTAACAGTGTGGGCCAGCTGGGCTGGAAAGCCAGGTATGATTATTTTCCATTAGTCAAGCATACCTCTTCCCTGATGAGAGTGGCTATTGCATGGCTCCTGCCAGATCCAAGGAAAACACATCTGTCCTCTTTGTCCAGGCAGTTTGTAATGTGCTTTGGGATTTTCTGAGGTGAGAAGAGTATTTGTCACTGCTGCTCAGCTGAAAAATGTTTTAGGAAGCAATTACCATCTGCCTACTGCCTGAAGAGCGAGAAAACCAATAAGTTCTGGTAAGATAATGCCCACAATTTCAGGTCACAGGTTTTCAATCAAACCTTGATTGAGATGAGGAAACCATGAGGGACCATTTAACATGGCAGTAACTCCAATTACAGGATCTTCAATATCCGACTGAAGCCAATGGCTGTTCTATTTCCCTCCTGTAGTAGCATTGTCACAAGATGATCTCTGCTCCCTCAGCTTTCCTGCAGTGAGGATACTTTGTCCTCAGTGATTCATGGATGGGACAGTGTTCTGTGGGACAGAAGTTTTGCTCCTGTGATTTATCCATCCTAGACCACTGCCAATTGCTGCAGTCTCAAGGCTCCTTCTGCAAGGACAAAGGACTCGGCCTTTGGTCTCACAAATACATTTGCTCACTGGAACTGGGTTATTATCCCATAAAACCTTTCATCCTGTTAATGAAGAGAGCATGAAGCATGTCAAATAGACATTAATTGATATAAGCTGAATGCTGCAGCCTGGCCTGATAGGGAACGTTCCATCCTATTTTATTTTCAGAACTATCATTCTAAAAAAATATTTATGGATGGGTGGATTTTCCTGCTCTTTCTAAGGCTGAGAAGTAGGTGGCTGGTACAATTCTACCCATTTGTTTTCAAATAGTTATCCATCAGTGGATGGCTTTCTCAAAGGGATATAGAAACATCTTTTGCTCAGGACAGCAGAGAAAGCCAAGAAAACAACAGCATATTTGTTTTTGCCTGGCTCATTTATTGCTTACAGTTTGTCTGTGCATTTAGGAAGACAAGGTGAATTTAAATGCAAAGCAGTAGAGAAATCCACTGAGAGGAAGATAAAAGAGTCTGAAGCCATTACAGACAAGTGGAATAATTGATGGTAGGAATCTGAAAAGAAAGTGCATATGAGACTTAAGGACATCTTGTCTTATTTTTGGGATAGTCATTTTCAATTGCCAATACTTGAGTATGGCTGGGATAGGGCACAACCATCAGCCTCTGCTTAGGAGGAGGGAAAACTTCCAGAGGCTCAGCACTGAGGGCTCAGAGCAGCCCCAGCCAGCCCAGTGCTTGCTGCTCTGCTTCTGACCTCAGACAACTGCTCTGTGCACAAAGCCTTGGGTCTTCTCAGCGTGCTGTGTGCTCATCTGAACTTCTTCCATGTGCTCAAAAACAAAAGAAATGGTTCTTGGCAAGGGGGTGAGAAAAGCCAAATGGTTCTCTATAGTTCAGAGCCCTAAGGCAGCACCAAGTGCCCTCTGCAGCACTCTGAGCACTCATTGTCCAGCAGCAGCCTCTTACACATGGCAGGGCAGTTATTCCTACAAGCCTGTCTATGGGAACAGACCAATGCACTGGGGGTGTGAAAACGGGTGTAGTTATTGTGCTTTACTAGTGCAGAAAGTCTGCTTCAAGGTTAATACCACTGATATCACTGTGGTGGAAAAGTACAACAGCAACAGTATTAGAACTATTCCAAGTGACAAAGAGCTGTTGTTCATTGCAAAACTTTCTGCTGCAGGTCATAAAGCTCAAGTGGAGAAATGCTTTCTCAGGTGATCATTCACTTTTTGCTGCTAATTTTCAATATTAAGAATCATCTTGACCATGGTTAATAATGTTGAATGATGTGCTGTTCCATCCAATGAGATAAGATGCAAGAGATTCAACGACTTGGAGTGAGCTGAAAAATGAAGGGGAAGAGCTGAACCAACCAGAATTTTACAAATTCACCTTATGATAATGAATACCTGCTCCCTTCCTTCTCAAGGAATCAATTCAATTTTTCCATCCTGAGGGGCAAAGAAAATGCCAGTCCAATAGACTGTTAGTGTGGATTGGCTGAAACTGCAAAGAAAGAAAAATTGTCTAAGTGCCCACGTGAGAGCAAGAGCAGCTCCCATTCTGCATCTTAATGGCAGCAGAAAATGCCCAGCAATTCTGCAGCAGATTACAGGGTCACATCTCTCATTACTGTGGGGTATGCAGAAGGCAGAGTACATAACTACAGATACCACAGTCCTGTCTGCTTCTCAAAATACTGCTCCTTTCACTGTCTTTTTTCCCTTTATTTTCAATAGCAATGGAATATGCTAAACTGCAAATGCTGCTACTTGCTGTATTTTTCCTCATCCCTGGAGTTATATATTCTTTTCCATCTTGTAAAAATAACCTGTTTATTCCATTTCTAAGGCCTGCATGAGATGGTTCTCATTTTCCCCGTTCCCTGTGGTTTTATCACAACTGCCTGCCCACCTATGTGCTTTGTCTCAGCTACCGAGTTTTCCTTCTCCAGAAAGCTGCCAAGCAGTTCTCTCCAGCAGCAGAGAAATGATGGGCAGTGCAGAAGCCTCTTTGTATTGAATTAATTGTAAGCCTCCCTACTAATTTCAGTGTCCTAACTTATCCTGGGTGATTTGGGAGCTTGTTTATTTTTCTGGTTGTCTCCAGTCAGTCGAAATAGCTGACTGTATGCTCTGTGCTCCCACCTCCACACACCTCCTGCATCTCACCCCAGCCCAGTCCCTGTGGGCTGTGCCAGCCCAGCCCATCTGCTCAGGGGGCTGCAGCCCTCAGTGGAGACCAGCAGAGCTTCAGCAGCAGCCAGGCTGCTCACCAGTGCCAGGGGATGGACCAACGATGCTGCTGTACCAAAGTAGAGGATGGATGGCCAGAAAAATGCACTTTTCACTCAAAAATGTGCTGAAGCCCAGAGATATGTCCTAAAGGGGTGGTGGAATTTTTTATAGGATGGCTGAGCATGCCTCAGCCCCGTGGTGGCCATAAATCTTGGAGCTGGAGGGTGGGCTGGCTGCCCCCACTTGGCAAGCTACCTGCTTTTCCATAGCTATACAATTCTTTGGTTTCCAAAAATAAATGTAATTTTATTACTAACTGCCTTATCATTGCTTTATTATTTTCCATTCAGAGCCCGCAAAATTGAATTACTGAGCATCCCCTAAATCTCCACTTCTCACACAGCTCTGGTCTCTTCTGAACTCAACCAGAACCATCAGCTCTCAGGCAGGCATGTGCAGATGGATCCCTGGAGCATCTGTAGGACACATTTATGAGTAATTACCTATCATGTAGAAGGTTACAGAGCAGCAGCTTAAGTGGGACCTGCCTTCTGCATTTATATCCAAGTCAAGACTAAGAAACATCTCTAGCAGATGGGAAAACTCTCCAGCCTCTCAAAGCTTCTCGAAGATGGATTATTTACCATCTAGCACCTCTCCGAGCAATGAGAGCTTATCCAATACAGTTTCTCCTATGTCTACTTATTCTGTCTTCTTTATTCCATAAGGATCCCAACCAATTTTCACCAAAACACTGAATGAGAAACTAGCTAGCATAAGGGATGTATCTTTTTTTGACCTATTTTGTGTCCTATTTTTCATTTGTATGCTGCTAGAAAGTTGCATGCTTGGTTTTGACACCCAGTGTGTGTGACACATGCAGAAATGTTTCCTGACCAGTTTATGCCAGTACCTTTCAGTCCCTGGGCTGTCTAATGCTGTGTTCACTCTGATCATTTGCAGGACTGTCCCACACAAGGCAGACAAGTGGCACAGTCTGTCTCTGACCTGCAGGACAATGTTGGGAAGTCTTAGTTGGACAGTCTTAGGACCTGCTGGGACCCTCTCCATGAACCTCACCAGGAGCTTCACACACATCTCAACAAATTTACTCTTCTATCTCTAATAGTATAATAATAAATAATCTCTTTTTTATGCCACTCTGGCAGAGAGTGAAAATACAAGCTTAGCTTTATTTGGCTTAGGCTGGTTTTGCAGATTCAATCTGGGTGCTGATCTGAAATGTCCTTTAGTGTGGAAAACAGCTGCTGTGAGTAGAGAAAATTATGTAAGCAGCTGAGTGAGTTTGTGGTGTTTCAGGGGACTCTTCCAGACAGAAAAGGTGTTTGTGGCTCCTGGGGCAGGACATGCACGTTGCTCACTACCTGTGGCTTCACTCTGAGCTGTTCAATCCACAGCTACACTTCTTGTTTGTTGTTAGCATCTCCCAGCTGCAAAGAACTCATCCAGATGGAAATCACTTGTTTGGATCTCTGTGAACAAAAACAAATCCTTTTGGGGAGTTCCTATCCAGCAATCCTAAAAGCTTGGCACAAATTTGGAAGTACAGTGGAATTTCTTGAATTGCAACTTTCTAACAACCTTTTCCAAAACTCAGAGGTTGAATTTGGCCTGAGTTTTAGAAAATATCCTGGCAAAAGCTTGTTATGTGCAAACTGTTTTGCTTTCCTTTAAACCAACATGACAAAAAGAAGGAAAAGCTGACATTTCAGTTCTACAAACAGTTCAGTGCTGGCTTGGTGGCTCCACTCCAGGACCTCTGTTGCCTCTTCCCTTTCTACCTGGAGTGCCTTGAGACTACACATTCAGAGATTTTTGGGAAATTTAGGAAGAACAAGTGCTATGGAAATCTTATATCATAATTTGGGTTTGTTTTTTTCTTTAAACTAATCAAACAGTTAAAACAAACCATGCACGTATTTGCAACACTAAAGTTAAACACATTTTAGAGATGATGGTATTCATAGGTATTTATAGGAAATACATGAAGTCTCTCGAGCTGCAACCCCTCCTTTTCCCCTCATTTCATGAAGTCATTAATCCTTTAGAATTTCCCAAATGTAGCCACAGTAAAAGCAGTACCTTGCAGTGTGTCTGACACTATTTTTGCCACGGTCAAAGTGAAAGCTCCCATTGTCAGCAGCAGAACCCTGGAGGGAATGTGCCAGCCGGGAGAGATTAAACATTCTTTGTATTGTACAACAAAAAGCGTTGTAAGGTTGATTACAATAAAAGCTTTCCAAAGTGGCAGCATTGGCCTCCTTCTCTTTTTTTGCTCCCTTTAAGCTGTTATAAAAAGAAATAACATTTCAGCAAAGTGAATGGTCATTCAGTGCTCAGGATAAAATGTACATTCCTTTTTCAGGGACTGAGAAGGACCACTGCAGTCCCTGGGGCTCAGTCATGGAGCTGGGTCTCTGGCAGAAGGCTGTGCTGCTGCCTTGAAAATTGGAAAAATTACCTTTAACAAACCCTGATGTTGTTTTGAGGTTGGACAGGTTTATGTCAAACTTCCTAGTCTCTCCAGAAGGCAGTTTCATTAATGTCACAGCAATCTGATAAGGGTGTCACGACTTCTCAAGAGTGTCTATTTGTTTGTGGCTTTTGTTCAATTTTTTGTAATATGCCTAGTTTAAAGTCAGAACACTGAGAGACAGAAATAATCTTAAATATACTCACTGCAATTTGAAAATCTTTCAGACACCTCCAAGCAGCTAGAATTAGTCAAAGCCCTGCTGAGATCTTGTAAATCCTGTCCTGTCAGTGGGTAAGACCTTGTTTTCCTGGGACAAACCAGTGAGATGGGATCTCAACCTCTGCTGAGAGCATCCAGAATGGTGCAGAAGTGCAGAAATGAGTGGCACAGACCACTTACTCTTTTTCTCTTCAGTCGACTTCAAGAAATTAAATTAAATTTATTTTTGTTTATCTGGGGAATTCAAAATGAAAGTCAGAAAATGAAAACTAAAAGAGTCTTCTGCCCTGTTGAAATTAAATATATGACCTGCAATTCCCAGCCATCACCAGCACACCTCGGGTTAATGCAGCTCTGTGCTTATCCAGTTAGGAAAGAATGGAGCAACAAACAAGATCTCATCAAGCTGATAGACCAGGAAATATTTGATCTGAATTTTCTCCATGGAAAACCGTGATATGAAGGCATTCCCATATTTGTGGTAACTACATTTTCTGTGAGCAAATCATCCTGATAGAAATTTCCCAGCTATCTTTTTTTTGGGAATAATTGGGTCATGATAATGCAATGCCTTGAAGAGAGCCTGGAAAGATTAGGCATGCTTGTTTTGAAAAGATTAGCCATGCTTGTTTGGGAAAGGAGGGGTCACAATAAAAATAATGACTGCTTTATCTAAGCATCTCAGAAATCTTTAATTGTGGTTTTATACAAGGATGGACAGATATTTGCTATTAAAATGACAACTTCAAACTCGTAAAAGGGAAAACAAATTTTATAAGATTTGACACTGTTCTGTGATTAGCAAGACAAGTGACAAAGGTGGCACTGAACATCTGCAAGTCTGGAGCACAAATGTTCCCAAATAGAAAGAAATGCTGAAACAAACCTCTGTGTGCAAATGCCATAAAAACCTCAAAATACCCCAAAGCTGTGGTCTTTTTGGACTATTTTTTTTTCAGATGGCTGAGCACTAACAAGTCCAGGCCCCACATGTACCCACCCTATTTACAGACAGGGCAGGGGAGATCTGGTTCATCTTCCTGCTCCAAAGAAATCACTAATGATCCTGATTTTTCTTTAGCCTTTCTGTTAACAAGGCTCAAATGCACACCTGAACACTTCACCTTTCCCACTCGAATCACCACCCTCCATCTGCCTGCTGTAATCAGAACTGTGGTTATTAACTCTTGCATTAATATACAGACATCAAGGATGCTTGGTAGGACAGGCTGTTTACTCCCTTCTTATTCCTACTAGGGACAAATCTATCCTCCAGATTTTTATTTCAATGAGCCCACCACCATTTGTAGCTGCCTGTAGATTTTTTTTCTCTTCTTCTTACCCTATATCATTACTGCCAACCCCTAAACTAGAGCAGCAATACACAAATATTTCCTTCACTAAGAGCACTCCAGCTGTGGTCATCAGCTCAGGCAGCATCACTTTATGATCAAAGAGGTCAAAATTACCCTCTAGAACCATGAATTTATCAAGCAGCACCTGGCTGTGGTGATGTGTGTCCCAGGTGAGCTGGGGGCTGACACACATGAGCAGGACTGGGCTCATGGGGAAGGCAGCCAGGGCAGTCAGCTCTTGTAGGGGGCTCAGAAAGAGTTCTTCCCAAGAGGTGGCAAGGAGCTGCTATTGTTGAAGGTTCTGTATTGATATCGTTGAAG